TTGGTCTTTTTGAGAAAGGGTCTCCCTATAGCCCCAGCTGTCCTGGAAGTCACTATGTAGACCAGGCTGGCCTTGAACTCAGAGATCTGCTGCCTCTGCATCCCAAGTGCTAGGATTAAAAGAGTCTTTAAATTTTTTTTTTTTAAGTAAGAAAGAATAAACTATTCTGGCCTCACATTCTCTAGGCCGGTAACGGGGAGCGTCCGCCGCATTCCTACCTCCATGCGCTTCCTTCTGGGTCCTAGTCAGGACCGTTTTCCGCAGGGGAGAGTCTGTCACTCACCCAGCATCGGCCCGCCTCTTCCTCCTCCAGGTAGGCGGGGCAAAGCAGGTGCGTCGGGTGTCCAGGTGGCGGCACTGACGCCTCCTGGCGGCCATACAGGCAGCACCACCAGCCGCTCAGCAGCTCGGTTTCGAGCTGTGCGCCGGAGCCCGGGGCTCTCTCTGCTGGAAAAGACGGTGATTTGGAGCCTTGGCCGAGCCCGCCCCGCTCTGCCCGCCCCACCCAGCGCCTACCGCGTACCGCCGCGGCCCCAGCGAGCCAGGCGCCAGCGGCTCCCGGGTACGAAGTAATGTTCGCGGTGAGGCAGGCACACGGCTCGCGGGGCCGCGCCCAGGTTCACGGGAGCGCGCAGCTGCGCGGGGTCGGAGGCGCTGTCCCACGACGCGTTCTCCTGCAGCAACGAGGCTCGCCACCCGCTCAGCCAGAGCACGCGGCGGCAGCAGCACGTGCCAGGCATCCAGGTTTCCGGGTGGGCTCTCGGAGGTGATCTGGCTGCTGGGTGGGGAAGCTGACACGTGTGCGCATTCCGAACACACGGCTGGAAACCTGCCTCCCGGCTCAGCCGGCTCAGCCTGCATCAGTCTGGGCCCGCGCTCCCGCCCCTCCAGTGCTGGAAAGGAATACTGCCTTCTGCCCGCCCTCTTTAGACTCCCCGCCCTCATTCTGTGTTGGATTCTGTGCTTCCCAGCGGAAACCCTGCGGTCCAGACTGAGGTATCTCCCCCACCCCAGAGGAAGCGGTGAGCCAGGTTGCTGATGCGGGTAGGGTCTGCCGGGGACTCGGGATGTCACTCACTCCGGGAAGCAGCTGGCGGGTGCCCAGACCCAGCTTTCAGACACCAGAGCTCCATAGCAGGATCTAGAGCCTGGCACAATCACCTGGGCCTCCCAGGGCCAGACCCCTGGCTGCTGAGCCTTCCCGCACTCTGAGAGATGAGAGGCCTGGGTCGGGGGGTCTGCAGAACCCCCTGCCCAGCAGTCCCTACTCCAATTGGAATCTGCTCCGCCCAGTTATGTTCAGCGCCTCTGCAGGTCACCTGGGCTCCTCGCGGTCCGACTGAGATTTCTGGGGCTGGCTAGGAAAGGCAGGCCTAGGCTCTAAACCCGCCACATCTCCCCGTATCCAGGCCTCATAGGGAGCCACTCTAGGGCTGTTCCTCCTTCCACAGCCAAAGCCAAAGCTGGTGATTCCCGCCAGGAAGCTGCGGCCGCCGTCCTCACAGACCAGGGGTCCCCCATAGTCACCCTAACGATAGATGACTTGAGTCAGAGGGTCAGTCCAAGGACCCACACCTCTTTTTGACATACAGCCACCTCCTAGAAACTCCTTGGTTTTGTCTTGTCCCCTGTATCGTATCTGTATCTGCATCTGTAGCCCTAAACAATGGAAAGCCTGGTGAGGCAGTACCACTGAGCACCCGAAGCCAAGAGCATCCAGCCAGAGCATCAGAGACCTCACGAGAGATGCCTGTAGTTCTCATTGAGCGCCTAATGATTCTTGTAAAGTCTTATAAAGAGTTCACATAAAAGCTGTTTCTGATTTCTAAGTTTTCTAAATCACACCCCAAATTTATTTTTTACTGATTTTTTTGTTTGTTTTGTTTTTTTGAGTGGACCTGGAACTCATTATGTAGACCACACTTGCCTCCATCACACCGATTTGCTTGCCTCTGCCTCCTGAGTGCCAGGATTAAAGGCATGTGCTACTATGTTAGGGCCCAAATTTTTGTTTTGAAATGGCAGTTGTTTAAAACATAAATTAAGGGCCGAGGAAGATTGCTCAGCTGGTCAAGTACCTTCCTTGTAGGTATGAGGACCTGAGTTCCATCTCCATAACTATAAAAATGTGGTGACCCACACTTGACCCACACTGGGGACGTAGAAACAGGAGGATCCTGGGCACTTGCCCATCAGTCATTCTAGCCTGGTTGGTGAGCTCCAGGCCACAGAAAGACCCTGTCTTAAAGGAAGTAGTCCGTGTTCCTGAGGATGATAGCCAAGGTTGTCTTCCAACCTCCACATGAATTGTATGCATATGTGCCTTCACATTTGATATACATGTGCACCCACACATGTGCATACATTCAGGCATTAAAAAGAAAGAAATCAAAGTCACGCATGATGGTACATGCCTATAGTCCAAAGAGTCTCAGGAGGGCTAGGATTATAGGCATATACCATCACACCCAGTTTGTGTGGTGCTGGTATCAGGGCTTCTTCCTACTAGGTAAGCACTCTACCAACTGAATTAAATTCCCCAGTGTGTTCTCTTCTTCTCTATCTCTGTTGGTCTGTCTGTCTGCCTCTCTTCTCCCATCCTTTAAAAAAAAAATCTGTGTGCACACATACGTGAGAACATGTGGAGGTCAGAGGACAACTGTATATAGTCAGTTCTCTCCTTCCACCTTTATGTGGGTTTGAGGAATTGAACTCAGGTTGCCAGCTTTGTGCACATCAAGGGCCCTTAACTACTGAGTCATCTCACTGCCTTTCTCTCTTCTCTCACTCCATTCCTCCCTTCCTCTCTCCCTCCCTCCCTTCCTTCCTGCACCCCCAGCCCAACAAGGTCTTGAACTTGTGGTCTTCATGCCCCATTTGTCCAGCTGCCAGGATTAAAGTTCCATGCCACCACGCCTAGTTCCTGCTTTTTAACACTTGACCACATTTCAGACATTCAATAGCCACATGTGACTAGCAGTTATCATATTAGAAACAACATATATAGGCTGTCTCTGAATGCTGGAGGTTCTATTGAATGGTACAGTTTGGAGGAATAATTTGTATGATTTGCAGTTGTATTCAAAAAGGTAGGCAATTTGAACCAAAATTAAGAAAAAAAATCATTTGCCACAATCAAATGGGTTTATTCCAGAGATGGAGGGATGGTTCAATAGATATAATCAGTGCATGTTGTGAACTACATAAATGCACATATGACAGAAATCAAGTAGTCATCTCATTAGATGCAGAAAAGGCTTTTGACAAAATTCAACATCGCTTTGAACTAAAAGAAGAAATTCAGAATAGAAATATATCCCAACATAATAGAGTATATGACAAACCTACAGCTGATGTTATATTAAATGGGGAAAATTCAAAGCATTTCCCTTAAAATGAATAAGATAAGGGTATTGACTTTCTTCACTCTTATTCAATACAGTACTGGAAGTCTCTAAAACAAGAGCAGTAAGATAAGCAAAGTTCAGGCCAGCCAGGGCTGTTTGGTGAGACCCTCTCTCAAACAACGTAGACACAGAGATGCACATGCACACATACAACTGAGAGATGGTTTGTTGGGGACCCCTGCTGTGTAAGGTAGCAGTCTCTCCATGTCCGGATAGCCCACGGGGCTCGGCGTTCATATGCAGAGACTCCTTTTATCAGCAGGGCGCCTTCCCACTCTCTTCCTGACTCATCTTTGAAGTAGCCGTCACAGAAACATGGCCTCTGGCTCTGAAACTGCCAGGTTTTCCTGTGTGATAATCAGGCAATGTCTGGCAGCCTGGCAGAAGCCCACCACCACATGTAAATTGGGCATCCTAAAAGCACCTATCAATTAAGCTTTTGCCACTGCCCCCACAGTATAAAATATCCTGGTTTCCCCTTAATAAATCAGAGTTGCATCAGAAGCTGTGTCTGAAGCTGTATCATTGAATCCTGCATCTTCCCGGAGAGGGCTGTCTCTTCGTAAACCACGACTCATGGAGAATCTGCTTTCGCCATCCCGCACCTCCCCTCGTGACCCGGCAGCTGACGGATCTCGAACTCAGAGGGAGTGCACGGTAGATTGGGATGGAACCCGCCCGGGCGGCTGACAGCAGTCCTCTAGAGCGGCCAGCCCGGGTAGCACAGAGATTCAGCAACGCAGAAAAACAGGGACCCAAACAGCAGACTCGGTGCGTGACCTGCCACACCCCAGCGGCCCGCGGGAGACCAGCGCCACGCCCAGCAGCTGGTGCTCCGAGATCCCTGCGACCCCATAATGGTTCAGTAGTTAAGAGTGCTTCCTACCTTTCCAGAGGACCCAAGTTCAGTTCTCAGTACCCAAGTTGGGCAACTCACAGCTACCTACCTATAATTCCAGCTTCCAGGGGATTCAGTGCCCTCTTGTGGCCTCCATGGGCACCCACACACGTGGCAGACACAAAATTTTTAAATCGTTAAAAATTCATGGCTAGGCTGGGCGTGGTGATGCATGCCTTTAATCCCAGCACTCCGGAGGCAGAGGCAGGTGGATCTCTGAGTTTAAGGCCAGCCTGGTCTACATAGTGAGTCCCAGGCCAGCTGGAGCTGCAGGGAGACCCTGTCTCAAAAAAGACCAAAAAAAATAGTATAAAAAATTCCTACAGCATCACAAGAGATCCTAGATAGTCAAAGCACTCCCGAGGAAGATGAAAGCATCACTGCACTTGACTCTATGCTACAGGTTACACTCCAGAGCCATAGTCATAAAAGAGCATGATGCTAACACAAAAATCAGCATGTAGATCAATGGACTAGAACAGAGGATCCAACGCCAGGCAACTACAACCACCTGATATTTGACAAAGATGCCAAGAAGACACACGGGCAGAAAGTATCTCAACAAATGAGGCCAGAAAACTGGATCTTAACATGTAGAACAATAAAGCTAAGTCTTTGCTGTTGTTTTTGTTTTTGGTATTTTTGAGATGGGGTCTCCCTGTAGCCACAGCTGGCCTGGAACTCACTATGGAGACCAGGCTGCCCTTGATCTCACAGAGATCAACCTGCCTCTGTCTATTGAGTGCTGGAATTAAAGGCATGTGCCACCATGCCTGGTGAAGGACCTCAATATAAGACCTGAAACTGAAACTTCTAGAGGAAAAGCTAGGGAGTATACTTCAAGACAGAAGTAAGGACTTTCTGAATAGGATTCCGATCACTCAGAAAATAAGGCCAATAACCAACAAATTAGATCTCATGAAATTAAGAAGTTTTGTACCGCAAAGGAAGCTACCAGTCAAGTGAAGAGACAACCTACAGAATGGGAGAAAGTCTTTTCCAGCTATGTATCCGGCAGAGGATTAGTATCTAGAATATACAGAGAACCGAAGAAACTGAACACAAAGAAACAACCCATTTAAAAAGAACGGGCCAGAACACAACAGAGAGTTTAAAAGAAAGGAATGACTCCTGTGGTGATTTGAATGAGAATGTCTCCTATAGATTCCAAGTATTTGAGCATTTTGTCTGTCTCCCCCCACCACATTGGTATTGTTTTGGGAGGTGTGACCATACTGGAGGAAGCATGTCACTGGGGAAGCCTTGCCAGATCCCCAGTTGCTCTTTGCTTCCTGTGCCTGCTTGAAGTTGTGAGCACTTAGCTTCTGCTCCTATTCCAGCCCCCTCTGCTGCCATGCCTTCCTACCGTGATGGACTCTTTCTCCTTTGGAACCATAAAGCTAAACAAACTCTTCCTTTTAAAAGTTCTGTTGGTCATGGTGTTTCTATCACAGCAGCAGCAAAGTAACTAAGACATTCCTAAGCTTTTTTTTTTTTTTTTTTTTTTTTTTTTTTTTTTTTTTGTCTTTTTAGACAGGGTCTTCCTGTAGCCCCAGCTGGCCTGGAACTTCCTGTGTAGACCAGGCTGGCCTCAAACTCACAAAGATCTGCCTGCGTCTGCCTTCCAGGTGCTGGGTTTAAAGACATGTGCCACCATGCCCAGCTTACTCCTAAACACTTTAAAGTGTTCAACATCATTAGCCATCAGGGAAATGCAAATTAAGATGACTTTGATATTCCATTTCACCCCAGTCAGAATGGTTATCAAGAAAACAAATGAAATAGATGCTGGTGAAGATGTGAGAAAGGGGAACACTTACCCTCTCTTGGAAGTATAACTTGAAGCAACCACTATGGAAATCAGCCTGGAGATTACTTAAAAAGCTGAAAATAAAGCTAGTATATGATCCAGCTATAGTACTCTGGACATATATGGGTAAAGGACTCCATGTCCTCTACACAGATACTTATTCATCCATGTTCATTGCTGTGCCATTCACAATAGCTAGGAGATGGAATCAACCGAGATGGCCATCAGCTGGTGAGTGGATAATAAAATGTGTTACAAATCCACAATGGGATTTTACACAGCTGTGAGAAAAGTGAAATTATAAAATTTGCATGAAAATGGATAGAACTGGGGGCAGAGAGATGGCTCAATGGTTAAGAGCACTGGCTGCTCTTACCAGAGGACCTGGCTTTGGTTTCTAGCACCTGTGTGGCAGCTAACAGCCATCTGTAACTCTAGTTCCAGGGGATCTGATGCCCTCTTCTGACCTCAAAAAATGCATGCATGTGATGTACACTTAAATACATGAAGGCAAAACATATATACACATAAAATAAAAATAAATATTTTTTAAATGGATGGAACTAGAAAATACTAAGTGAGGTAACTCAGGCCCAGCAAGACAAATGCAGCATGTTCTTTCTCATCTGTGGATCTTCGCTTCAAAGTTTTAGGTTATGTGTTGTGCTTGGAGTGTCTAAGTCAGGAAGCTAGAAAAGGCCAATGGGGGAGGAGAAGTCTTAAGGAGTGAAGAGATAGTAGACACACATGCTACTAAATGTTTAAGCTAGGGTAGGAGTGGGAGGGGCACAAGAGATAGGAGGGGTGGAGGTAGGTTAACTGAAATTAAGGAAACCCACTAATTTGTTAGCTACTTAAAAATATAGTAAAGGAGCCAGGCATAGTGGTGCACCCCTTTAATCCCAGCACTCAGGAGGCAGAGGCAGGTAGATCTCTATGAGATTGAGGCCAGTCTGGTCTATATAGTGAGTTCCAGGCCACTTGGGGCTGCAGGGAGACACTGTCTCAAAAGAAACTGTATATATATAGTTTGAACACAGATACCCTGAATGGGTGGACAATGCTTCCCTCCAAAAGCATATGTTATTTTTATTTTATTTTATTTTTTGGTCTTTTTTTTTTTGAGACAGGGTTTCCCTGTAGCCCCAGCAGGCCTAGAACCAGCTATGTAGACCAGGCTGGCCTTGAACTACAGAGATCCACCTGCCTCTGCCTCCCCAGTGCTCAGATTAAAGGCGTGTACCACCACGCCCAGCTAGGGACATGTTATTATATGAAGATGTCAGTACCAGATGTGTGACACTTCCATATGAGTTTATTAGTCAGAGAGGCCTCAGAGATCCCCCAAACAACACAGGCTATTACTGTTGCTCTTGGTTGCCCACCATAACTAAACTAGATGGTAAGACCCTATTGCTGTAGACTCAGCACACTATGGTTTGCAGTATCCAGAGAAATAAACCTGGAGCTGACCTGAAAACTTTTTCCCTGCTGGCTAGCTTTCATAATGCTGAAAGTTGCTCTGCAGGCTGCAGGCGGACAAAAGTCATCAATGATTTTACTCAGCATGGAACTATGAATTCTACAGTATCAACTTCCAAGCAAGATGTGCCCATTGGTGAAATAGCAGCATGAAGGTTATGGGAGGAACCAGCTGCGTTCTGATTGGATTTGAAGCCTGCTTCATAGGAAGGAATCCATACCTGGTACCGTAATCTTGTTCAAAAGCCCATGGCTCTAGTGGTCAAAGGCTGGGGGTGGGGGTGGGGAACGGGACCTACTGTTGTATTGCTACATAAATATGTCAAAACATATTTATGTTTATACCCATGGATTAGTACTCCTCTCAGTCATAACCAGGGAAACTTTTCTGCAGTGGGCAGCAGTTAATGCAGAGATTATAACTGGTCAAAGTGCTGAGAATAAGTGACTTTCGAGTGCTTAGCCCTAAATAAGGCATCTGTGTCAAGGCCCTACCCTGAGGCTCAGGGAGCACTGCAGAAGAGGAGGTGGAAGGAGCATAAGAGCTGGAAGATGGGGAGGAGTGCAGCAAAATGCTGACATCCTGACACTCATGAACTCACTGCAACTGCTGTGAACTCACAAGGTCTACACAAGAGCAAGCCAACAAAATCAGTCAACATTCCAGCAGGCAATGCTAATTGGCCCCAGTGGGTTGCAAAAAAAAAAAAAAAAAAGAAGACATGAAGGTGGGAGGGAGATGTGTTGGTGTTATCTGGGGAGGATGGGAGGGGGAATTGAGTAGATGGATATGATCAAGATACATTGTACACATGTATAAAATTGTCCAAAGAATAGAAATATTCTTTAAAGGGGGGGGGTGAGCACCAGGCATGATAGTGCACACCTTTAATCCTACCACTCAGGCAGAGGCAAGCAGATCTCTGTGAGTTTCAGGCCAGCCTGGTTTACATAGAGAATTCCAGGCCAGCTGGGGCTACAGGGAGACCCTGTTTCAAAAAGGCCAAAAAAGAGGGTGGTGGTGGCAGATGGAGAGATGGTTCAGTGGTTAAGAGCTCTTAGTGCTCTTCCAGAGGGCCCAAGTTCAGTTCCCAACAACCATGTCAGGCAGCTCACAACTGCCTGTACCTCCAGCTCCTGGGGGATCCTATGCCTCTGGCCTCTGTTGGTACCTGCATTCACCTGTCCATGCACACACAGACACATAATTAAAAATAAAATCCTAGCCAGATGTGGTGACATGTGCCTTTAATCCCAGCACTCAGGAGACAAAGGCAGGCGGATCTCTGTTAGTTCGAGGCCAGCCTGGTCTACATAATGAGTTCTAGGCCAGCTGGGGCTACAGGGAGACCCTGTCTCGAAAAGACAATAAATACATACATAAAATTCTTTGAAAAGCATGCAATTATGTCCATGGATCCTGGAACTACAGAATAGATTATATTTTTGCCATGAATGCTGGGGTGCTTTAAAAATGTACATAATTTTGTTCATTTCTGAGAAAAATGCTTCAAATATATTATTTTGACCATCAGCAAGTTACTGGAAAATTCCCTTCTGTGAAGAATTAATACTTTTTCCCAATACCTATTTGTTAGGCACCTGCTAAGTAATGGGTGCTATACTATGGGCTGGGCTGGGCTTTGGGATAAGAAGAATAGTAGCTAACTCTTCTTTAGATCTTATTGAGGACCTGGCTGTATTCCTCGTGACAACAATACTTTGAAGTGGTAACACTATTTTGCCATTTTCTAGATATGAAGTGAGCACATTTGGTCAAAGCCACACAGCTAATAGCTGGTGGTGCTGGACTTGTAACTAACACTCTAGAGGTTGGTACTTTACTGCAATATATCCCTAAGAGTAACAGCTCCCATGCATCTGTAATCTTTATGTCAGTCCCACTCACTGACAGTCTTTTTGTTTTGAGAGAGGGTCTCGAGTAGCCCAGGCTGACCTCTGACTTGCTATGTAGCTGAGACTGGCCTTGAACTCCTGAGCCTCCTGCCTCTACTTCCTCCCAGGTGTTTTGATTCACACGTGCACTGTCATGCCAGCCTCCACTGACAGTCTTTACTTTTTTTTCCAGAGATTTCCAGAGCTTCCTACATGCTAGCCACATACTGTACTCCTGAGCCCCAGTCCCAACTCCATTGGCAGTCTTGCCTTCTTTTTGTAGATGAGGCTTAAATATGTCTTCTCCTTAGCTGTTTCCTATTGGTTAGAAGACCTCTCCTCACCTGGCAGGTGTCCCTGCGTCCCTCTGGATAGCCAGCACACAGCATCCCTGACAACAGCTGGAAAGTCAGGTTGAAAGGGCCAGGCCGGCTGTAGAGACACTGACAGGCAGCCTCTCCCAGCAGCCTTAGCTCCAGGGGAGAGGCAGAAGATCTGAGGGCAGAAGCAGAGAGAACAGATACTGTGAGGCAAGTATGAACACTCAACTCCCCAGCTCTTGGCTTTGTCCCTTCTAGCTGCCTCTGGGATATTTCCATCAAGATGTCCCTGTAAGATCTGGGGATATAGCTCAGTTGGTAGAGTGCTTGCCAGCATGTATAAAGGCCTGTGTTCAACCCCAAGAACTGAATAAACTGGGTGTGGTGGCACATGTCTGTAATCCCCACTTGGGATGTGGAAGCACAAGGATCAGAAATTCAAGGTTATCCTTGGTTACAAGCAAGTTCAAAGACCAGTCTATGTGAGTCCCCGTTGAAAGAGAGGCAGGTGGCGAACTATGGCATCTTGGCCTACCATATCACATTGTCTCTTGTTATTGTGTTCTATGTCTTTATCTCAGGTTTGACCTCAACAAGCATCCAGTGAGTGCCATTATACATGACAGTACAGGTTGTGCACTGCACAGGGTCCCCAGACAATAATGGATACAATAGGATCTAAAATCAGTAAGCTCTCAACCCTGATACAGAGTTGCACTGGTTCAAAAAAGCATCCTTTCCACAAAGATGCCATGTATACGAGATTGGTCTTGTATCCATTTGCTAAGCATAGAATATGGAATTTCAGGTAAGAATCTGAGTGTCATCCTTGACTTCCTTTTCAACCCATCTTCCCGAATCAGCTCCTAAATTACTTGTGGTTTCTCCTTTTCAGTGTAACTTCCTGCTGCTGGAAGCTAATCTCCGACCTGAGTGGCTGGCCTAGCTTCCTGACTGGTCTGTTGCCTCATTTCCTCTACACTTGCTACTGCCAAAGAATGTTCCTACAGCTCAGCTCTGAATTCTACTAACAGCAATAACTGGATCCCCCAGACTCAGCCTTGGGGGCCAGCGCCATCCTTTTGGGATTATAGATGTATGCCACTGCGCCACCTCCAGCTATTGAACTTTTTTTTTTTTTTCGGTCATTTTGAGACAGGGTCTCCCTGTAGCTCCAGCTGGCCTGGAAATCTCTATGAATACCAGGCTGGCCTTAAACTCGAAGAGATCCTCGCCTCTGCCTCCTAAGTGCTGGAATTAAAGGCGTGTGCCACCTTTTAACAGAAACCAAGTGTCAGGAGAAAGGTGTAGGGAAAACTGAATAGAGGTCCTTCAACGCACTCAGAATCCTGAGAGGTCAGGTCAGGACTGAACCTGTCCTTGGAGTTCAGCCAGGGAAGTTTGGGGGTTGTCCCCGAATCCCTGAGCAGGTGGACTATTCTGTACCTCAGTCTGAATTTAAGATCTTCAAGGTTTAGCCTCAGCGTCCTTGGGAGCCTCTGCCCTGCCACTCTAGTCTAGCATCCTAGCTTTTCACCAGGACCTCCCATCTTGTACATTCTCTCCATGTACCCCCTTCTCAGGAATGTCCTGCTCTGAGGGTCCATTGTCAGGATGCTCTGGCCCCCTCCACACATACTTCCTAGGTGCTCATGATGACTCTTCTCTGCCACCTCCCATCCCGATGGGATCCTTCAAGCAGAGACAGTGGCATGTCCTCCACAAGCTCCCTTTCAAAGCCCCAGCCCTGTCACAGCTATGGGTATGTTTACTATCATGGCAAGGTAACACTGAGTAACAGAGGTGACTGAAAATGAACAGTGGTAGGGGCACTGACTGCTCTTGCAGAGGACCCAGGTTTGATTCCCAGCACCCACATGGTGCCTATGAACTGTCTTTAACTCCGGTTCCCAGGGGAATACGAAGCCCTCTTCTGACCTTTGTGGCATTGCAGGACACAGGTGCATTGCCCCTGTAATGCCCACAGGTGCACTCACATACATGCAGGCAACACACACATAAAAAATAAAAATAATAAATAAAATATTTGAAAAAGAAAATGATCAGTGGTGTTTTCTCCACACCTTCCAATATTTCATTGTTTGCCTACCTAGTATGCAGTCTCTGAGAAGGCAGGGGCATGGCTTACATTTACTAGTGTACCCTCTAATGCCTATCAGACACAGGCCTGGTATGTAGAAACGTCTTCAGCAAACAAAGGATATGAGGAGAGATGGATAAGATGGAAGCAGGATAGAAGAAAAAGAGGGCAAAAATATGCGGAACACATCGGAGTCCAGGTGCTGCGCGTCAGTGCTTTGACACCTATACAGAAACCAAAAGTGCCTAGTGGATTCATATGGCTAGCCACTGAACGGCTTTACACAGATTCCTCCCACTTGAGCCACCCAACAACCCCGTAGGCAGTGTTTTCTTCATTTTACAGCGCAGGGCACGTGCAGGATGAAAAGCTTTGTCTGAAAAAGTGGGAGAAGTCCGACCTACATTCAGAAAAGAAAAAACAAGAACAGAAACTGGGAGAAAGGGTGAGGGAGAAATGGGTGTGTCGGTTGGAGAACCCCTGGGGAGGAGGAGGCAACATGAAGGTAGGTGTGTAATTTTCCAGCAGTCCATCAGAACCAGGTCTCCAGAGCTCCTCCTCGACTCCCACCCGCCCTCTAGTCCCCACTTCCCCTGAGCAAAACCGCGGCCTCGGGGGCCCTCCATTGGAGGACCCAGCTTGCACCTGCAAAGATCCGGGCGCACCTCACTCACCCGCCTCCCGGACGTCTCCCCAGCCAGTGGCCCAGCAGGCGGTGCCGTGAGCAAAACGATGCGAGGCTCGGGGCAGGCAGACGGGCTGCACTGTTGGGCCCAGCAGCCCGCAGCAGGGCCACGTCGGAGCCCAGTTCCACTGTGCTACAGTTGTCCGGCACCAGGATGGCAGCCACTGCGCGGACTTGCGCCGTCCAGGGGCCAGTCCTGGGAGTGCACGCCCAGTAGGAATGACCATTCCGCCGCGCGCTCTAAGGTCCCATTCCTCCACCAGGGCCGGGGTGGGAAGGGGTCTGATTGGCCCCACATGGAGGTGAGGACTCACAGTCAGAAGGGGAGTTGGGATCAGTAGGAACCCAGGGAGTCAGGTCCAGATTTGGGGTAGAGGCGGTGGAGGTTGAGAAGGTCAGATAGGATTTGGAAGTGTTGATGTGGGTGTTGGAAAGATAATTCATATTTAGGGCTATTCAGACTCCAAAGCGGTGGGACAGAACCTCGATGGCCTGGCGTTGCGGGGAAGGAAAGGCAAACCCAAGCTCGAAATTCGCCTTGCTAGGGGACCAGGGGCAGGGGTCAAGCTGCAGGGCGGGGTTTAGCCTTTGAAGGAGAGAGGCTGGACAAGGGCTATACTCACGTCACGAAACAGTGAGCCGCAGAGAGGACCCAGGATGGGGCGATGAGGGAATCCCCGCAGATGCCGCTCTCACCTTGATGCAGGCTCACCTGCCACGGCCAGGTGCCTAGCTGTGGATCTGAGCACCCCACGATTCGGGAAGAGGGCTCAGGGCAGCCGCAGCGGAAGGTGAAAGCTCTACTCTGACTCCAGAGGCCTGGCAACTCAGGACAAAGCCCAAATTACGGCCATTAGACCTCACGTCTCCCTTCTGCACAGGACCCAGGGACACCACTGAGCTCCTGGGCATTTCCACTTCCCTCACCACGCAGCCAGTCTGAAACTCTGCTAAGATCCGAGGAAGCCTCCTTACCTAAGTCTTGAGGTTCCTCTTGGGTAGGGCTGAGGGCTGAGAGCCAGAAGAGAAACATGCTGGTAACTCCCACTTTGACACTACCCAGCCCCCACCTTCCTGCTCTGCACCCCACACTTGCCTCCCCAACTCCCTGCCTTTCAGTCCCACACCACTGGCTACTGCACTTAACTTTCTCCCAGCCCAGTTGCCTTACCTGCATCCTGGAAAGCTCCTGGGATGGAGCTAATAACTGGGAAGACAAGAGGGAGGCAGGAAAAGGCTGGAGATCTTCCCGCAGCGCCCAGGTTTCCTTGTCCCCTTCCTTATTTACACAATTTCTTTCTCTCTTGGTATCTACCTTCCCTCCTTCTGCCATCTCTTCCTTTCTTCCTCTTGACCCTTTACTTCCTTCCCTTCTCTGACATCTCACTGTCCATAAAGCATCCTGACATCCTCTAGATGCTGTCATCCAGGCTTCTTGCAGCCCTCTCCCCTGAGCTCACCCATGATTACAAGTGGAAGGAACAGGTGCTGGGACATGGTCCATTAGAGTCAGCTGGAGGCACAGTGATGGGTGAAAGGCTGTTCCTTGCCACCACTCTGTCACCACCTAGGTAGCTGGTAACTTCTGATGGTCCCAGGAGCAGCCCCACCCATCCTGGCTAGAGCTCATTTATGGGAACCTGAGAGGACCTCGAGCTGAGAGTGGGAAGTAGGGAGTCTAAAGGCCCCACCCAGAGCCCCAGTTCATCTCACATCTCTGGAGGCTCTGAGTGGGGGTGTCTTAGAGCCTGCTGCTTAGGTCCAGACACCTCTTGGATGTGGGAGGGATGGGTAGAGAACCCTGTGTACAAAGACCAAAGAAGGTAAAGGGGGTGTGGTGCTGGAAGCCTGTGCACTGGGTCTTTGGAAAAGCAGGACTAGGCTAAACAGTGACCCTCAGGACAGGGGAGGTGGCCCCTCACTGGCGTGACTCACCTGGGACCTCACCTTTGGGGAGTGGCTTCCCCAGTGGCTTGGCCTTTTCTTCTCACACGGCTCTGGTTACTGGAGTTGCTGGCCAGGGTTGGGACAGGAACACTGGGGAATTCAATTCGATCCTAACAAAGGGATCACAAATTCTGGCTGGTTGAGCAAGGCCTAGGGGTGATGGAGGGGGCCGAGCAGACTGGCAAACATTCTACCTTCCTCTGTGCTAGGGTGGCAGGCTCGTAGCACTGTCACTTGCTCTTTGTGTGACTTGGGAGAGCCGCTCAGCCTCTTGGTATAATTAAGAGCCCATTTAAGAAACATACGGTGCTGGGTATGGTGTTGCTGCGATCCCAGCACTGGGAAGGCTGAAGACCCTCCAGTCCAGGTAGGCTGAACTACAGTAAGAGTCTGTGTTAAAAAACAAGGGAAGGACAACGTATTCAAAGATGTCTGAAGCCATCACCAACTCACAGACCCAGACCTAATTAAACAGCGTATAAATGAATGCACAGCCAGGATTGAAATTGGACTGCATTATCAAGTTCCTTATCCAAGGCCAATTCATCTGTCACCAATGGGTCTCACTTCACTACAGGGCTGAGGACTTGGAACCCAAGAGAAACTGAGGAAACTTTCCAACCATTATACAGTCTTATAATGAAGTTTACTGAGACAGAAAAGAGTTTATTTTTAAAATTTATTATTATTATTTTTTTTATTTTTTGTGTGTGAGTGTACTGACTGCATGTGTGTAAGTGTACTCATGTTGTGTAATGCCCATAAAGGTTAGGAGGTCAGAAGAGGGTGTTGGATCTCCTGGGACTGGAGTTATGGATGTTTGTTAGCCACCATGTGGGTGCTGGGAATCAAACCTGCGTCCTCTGCAAGAACAGTCAGTGCTCTTTTAAAAAAAATTTTATTGTTTTTATTTTATGTGTATACGCGTATTGCCTGCATGTCGGTAAGTGCACCTGTGTCGTGCAATGCCCACAGAGGTCAGAAGAGGCTGTCGGAGCCCCTGGGACTGAGTTATGGATAGTTGTTAGCTGCCATGTGGGTGCTGGGATTCGAACTCCTGTCTTCTGCAAGAACAACCAGTGTTCTTAAACGCTGAGCCATCTCTCCAGCTCCATCAGTCAGTGCTCTTAACCACTGACTGTCTCTTCAGCCCTGAAAGTTTATTTTTGAAAACAATGAGCCAACTTCGTTTTGAATGTAAACCAGATAACATCCCCTTCAACTTGATGAAGGGCAAAAATGTTTTCTTCAGACTTCCAAAACTGGTCCTTATCCATGACATGTGTCTGCAAACATCCCTAGGGTTTTTCAGGGTCTTGCTGCCTGAACCAATGGCATTAGCTCTAGAGACCATGGACTTTACACCTTCACTGAAGTCACCCTTGGAAACAAGTCTAAGGCCTATGTGAGGAAGGCTGGGCACTAAAACTTCCAATTACCACAGCAACTGTCACAGAGAAATTAGCTGGTTGCTGGAAGCTCAAACAGCTACAGAATTATGGTGGTACACCTTTAATCTCAGCTCCCAGGAGACAGAGGCATGCAGATCTCTGTGAATTTGAGGCCAGTCTGATCTACAGAGTGAGATCCAGGCCAGCTGGGGCTATAGGGAGACCCTGTCTCAAAACAAACAACAGTCAAGAAACCAAAATACTTTCTGGAGGTTTTTTTCACACATTACAGATTTGCTTAAAAGTGGGCTTGTGTATATACTTTTTTGTGATATTTTGACCCTTGTACTTCCCAGGTATACCCCTTTACAAAGCGCATCCTTGGATTGATCATAGGTTATTTTGTTTGTTCTTGTTGGTTTTTTGGGGGGATTGGTTTTTATTTTTTATGTGTATGAGTGTTTTGCCTCCAAGTATATGTGCATCCATGTTGTGCAATGCCCATGGAGGCCAGAAGAGGGCTTTAGATTCCCTGGAACTGGAGTTATTGACAGCGGGTGGGTGTTGGGAACCAAACCTGGGTCCTCTGCAAGAACAGCCAATGCTCTTTTTTATTTTTTATTTTTTGGTCTTTTTGAGACAGGGTCTCCCTGTAGCCCCAGCTGGTCTGGAACTCTCTATATAGACCTGGCTGGCCTTGAACTCACAGAGATCTGCCTGCCTCTACCTCCTGAGTGCTGGGACTGAAGGTGTGCACCACCACGCCCAGCTTAGTCAATGCTCTTAATGGCTGAGCCTTCTCTTCAGCCCCCTATGGGGACTTTTAAAATTGGACTAAGTGCATCTTGCATTATAATATAGCCATGGGACTATGGGTACCCTGGAGTGGTGGTTTGAATGAGGAATGTCCCCCTAAGTTCACATATTTGAATACTTGGCCCCAGTTAGTGGTTCTGTTTTCGGAGGTTTAGAATGGAGGGAGCACATTGCTGGGGGTAGGCTTTGAAGTTCATGGCCTTGCCCCACTTCCAGCTCTCTCTGTTTCCTGTGCCTGCTTGAGGATGTGCACTCTCAGCTTTCTGCTCTGGCTGCTCCTGACATGCCTCCCCACCATGATGGACTCATTTCTCTGGAACTGTAAGCCCAAATAAACTCTTTCTCGGTCGTGGTGTTCTATCACAGTAACAGAAAAGTAACTAATATACCCTGTTCTCGAGGCAGTAAGGTGGAGTAAATAAGAGAGTCCTAACTGTGTTGCCGCAAAGAGGGAGGAAGGGGGGACGGAGAACGAGAGAGTGAGCAAGCTATGAAAGAGTCAGCCAGTCAAAGCTGTGCCCCTAGGTAGAGAAATGTGACCTTTTTCTTCTTGTGGAAAGAAGGAAAGAGCATATTGCCAGGTGTGGTGGTGCACGCCATTAGTCCCAGCACTTGGGAGGCAGAGGCAGGCAGATCTCTGTGAGTTCAAGACTTGTCTATATAGCAAGTTCCAGGCCAGCTGGGGCTACAAGGAGACCCTGTCTCAAAAAAAAAAGAGCCATGTGCACAACTTTATTTTTTATTTTTAAATTTTTATTTCATATTTATTTTTATTATTTTTATTTTATGTGTATGAGTGTATTGCCTGCGTGTGTAAGTGCACCCGTGTTGTGCATTGCCCACAAAGGTAGAAGGCTTTGGAGTCCCTGGAACTGGAATTACGAATGGTTGTTAGCTGCCATGTGGGTGCTGGGAATTGAACCAGGGTCCTCTGATAGACCAGTCAGTGCTCTTAACCTCTGAGCCATCTCTCTGGACCCTTAAAATTTTATTTTATTTTATCTTATTTTATTTATTTATTTTTGGTCTTTTTGAGACAGGGTCTTCCTGTAGCCCCAGCTGTCCTGGAACTCACTATGTAGACCAGGCTGGCCCTGAACTCACAGAGATCCGCCTGCCTCTGCCTCCTGAGTGCTGGGATTAAAGGCGTGTGCCACCATGCCTGGCTATAATTTTATTTTTCTTATGTGTATGAGTGTATTGCCTGTGTGTATGTAAGTGTACCCATGTCATGAAATGCCCTCAGGAGTCAGAAGAGGGCTTTGGATCCTCTGGAACTGAAATTAAAAAAACTTCAGTTTATCCCGTGGATAGTTAAAAGAAAACATGTAGGTGCTGGAACTAAACTTGGGTCCTCTGTAAGAGCAGTCAGTGCTCTCTGAGCTGTCTTTCCAGCCCAAGTGCACAACTTTAATCCCAGCACTTGGGAATCAGAAGAAGGTAAATCTCTGGTAGCCTAGTCTATATAGTGAGTTCCAGGTCAGCCAGGGCTGCAGAGTGAGACTCTGTCTCAAAAAAAGAAAAGAAGAGAAAAGAAAACAAGAGGAAGAGGAGGAGGAGGAAGAGGAAGAGGAGGAGGAAGAGGCAGAAGAGAGGGCTGGAGAATATGGCTCAGCAGTTAAGAGCACTGGCTGCTCTTGCAGAGGACCAGGGTTGACTTCCCAGCATCCTCATGGCAGATAACAACCAGCTGTAACTCTAGTTCCAGGGAGGCCGATGATGCCCTCTTCTGGCCTCCATGGGCATTGTACAACATGGGTACACATATACATGCAGGCAAAAGACTCACGCATAAAAAATTAATTAAAATAGATAAATTTTAAAAAGAAGAGGAACAAAATCCATTTTTTGCCATCCTTCCTTTCTTATTTTATTTTTTATTTTTTTGGTCTTTTTTGAGACAGGGTCTCCCTCTAGCACCAGCTGGCTTGGAACTTACTATGTAGCTCAGGTTGGCTTTGAACTCACAGAGATCCGTTTGCTTCTACCTCCCAAGTGCTGGGACTAAAGGCGTGCACCTGGCTAATCTATATTTTTGAGTGGCTTGGCTCCACTGAGTGGCTCTTCTGCTGGTTGTCTGTGTTTTGCACTCAGATACAGCTGAGGCTGGACACATCTGGCATTTTACCTGGGACACTGGGATAGGGCCTCTCTCCCTGGTGTAATCTGAAGGTCTCCCTTCTCTGTGTTACTCTCTTGGTCTCTCTGCCAGGACAGCAGCACCAGAGGATGGCACATGGTCACTTCTAAAGCATTCCATTGGCTGAAGCATGCCACAGCCTAGTCAGTCAATAGAGAGGACCACAAAGCACATGAGTACCAGGAGGTATGGTTAATTTGGGG